CATGTTGCGAAAACAAGGTCAAACAACCTCAATAGAATCAATGATTTGCAGAAAAGCAGGTTTATAGAATTGAACATTTTCAATTCGGATAACTTAGAAGGCTACCTATGCTTTCATTATAGTTACTTTTCAAAAAGCCAATTCACAATTGGCCTTCCCTAATCTGAAAGCTTATCAGCACTTACAATGACCTAATTGCTAAGTATTATGCTTAAAATAAGTAATCCAAGATATAGTAAGAGACACACATTGTTCGCTGCATATCGAATTAGTAAGTAGGCTATTAAGGAACAACGAATAAATACCATTAAATCCTTACCAGTTCCCGAGCTTTTCGTTGGTGATGATTCCGAATGGAATTTGTCGACAGTAGAACTTTTTGGCCAAGTGTGCCCGACTAAAGCGGCCTGCTGGTCTCCGAGAATGCCGCAAATCGGGAGGCCTGAAAGCAGACAATTTGGATCCATGATCTGGCCAAATATTTCAGCGGAGCTGCGCACCTCTGGCAAAATGCCAAGATCGGGTATACCGAAGAAGCTGAAGCGAGACGGTATTCAAAATAGCTCATCTCTAATAAATGTGCAAGCACGTATTTCCTCGAATATTTAAGAAAATTAGAGTGTATAGACTTCAAGACTCACTAAGTAAATATGCAGAAAGTATCGGGACTAAGAACAAATTTATAACTAATAATATAGGGAAGATGGCTCTCGAGGGAACCCCAGAGATTATGTAGTTAGCCTTAATCTGTCATTTAAGATTTTCAAATAAGTCAAAGGTCCAATGCTGGAAATCATCATAAATACTATGGCAGAGGATGAAAGACAAGGTACGTTCCACAAGGTCTCCCTGTCACTCCGACCAATTTACAAAATCGGAGCCAAACCAACACTCTACAGATAAAGGAAACTGCTAGCAGACAAAAGGCAACACCATCTTGGTTTTCATTACTACAATATAATTACGGTGGTAAACTTGCCCGACAATGCACTGATTACAGAAGATTAAAGAAGATAATCGTAAGTCAATCATGTCATTTGACCTTTCTTAACTATTATAAACGTTATGGCATACCCCATTGTTTTTTGTGATTTGATGAGAAAATATTATTTTGACAAGATCAATGATATAGCAATGTATATCAAGCTTTTTGCAAAAAATCAGGAGAAATATGATAAGGAAAAGAGAGAATCATTTGTATTTTAGATATTAGATTTAGGTATGATTTGAATCGAATCCTCCTTTCGAAAGAGTTTCTTGAATTACAGAAGATAACAGACCAAATGTCGAAAAGGATCTCGGCTTCGATAGAAAAAAGGCATAGAAAGAAGCTGAATAAATATGGGATCTATAAGCAGTCCAAGGTCAAACCTTTCGGCAAAAATGAATATGCCTCTAGAATGACGAATCTCACAATCCAGAGTAGAGAGCAAGATAAAATATTGAATCTATCTTCTGTCCCTCTTGACCTCAAAACCACGACGATTCTCAAGAAGGGACAAACTTTTGTACTTCAGAATGAAAGGACACTTTAGTAGAGGTGATAAATATCTTAGAGAAGCTTCCGTAAGGATCAAGAAGAAAACTGGAAATGGAAATCATCTCAACAATTTTTGCGCATCAAGAACCCACGGATAGGAACAATAAAACCAAGATATATAAGGAATTGAAAAGAAACGATCAAATAGTTTTGCAAGCCGACAAAGAGGTGTGAGAGTGGTGATGGACAAAAGTAATATAAAGAGAAAATGGAAAATATTCCCAGGGGCACAACAGCCTAACGGCGACTAATAAAAGATGCAAAGATTAAAATCAAAGGACATTGAAAGAAATACCGAAGGAAATTAATATGAAAGGGTAAATCGACAAATGGATAATAAATTCACTCCTACAAAAGAATGCAAGAACTCTAGTAGAATACGGTTTGCCAAAAGTACACAGAGGAGAATCATTGAGACCGATAACAAACACGCAGCAATACGTTAACCGACGAAAGTTAACCGTCTCAAATAAAAAAGATCAATGCCAGAGTATCGAATACAGTGAAAAATTCATGCGAAATTTGTCTAATATGATATGGTGTGAAAAAAAATGGTGTGACCTTTTGTTTGGTCGCAGTCTCCATCTGCTGTATAGTGTTGATTCGGTCGGGGCAAGAGGGAGACCTTGTGGAATTTACCTAGTTCTCCGCCCTTTTCCATGATGATTTGCAACAGCAGACCGTTGGCTTAGTACATTCCCAGACGCGTCGTTGACATAAAAGTCAGAATCATCGACCATTCTTAGCACAAAGTCGCTACAAAAAGCTTGATCTACAGATTTACAACTTATCGAAAGGGCAATTCTCTCTTCAATAGTTGTGGCAATCACTCCTTGCCCTCGTTCGACATCCCAGCTTCTAGTGCTGCATCTTTTTCCACAACCCCACTTCATATGGCCCATTTACCTGTTTCACCATTCTGTGCTCTCATTTCTTCTAAAGACTTTAAATGCGTCGATTCAAGTGGATTTAGTGAAGCATAATAATCAGCAACACCAATTTCAAATGCCGTTTGCAGGGCTTTTGGGTAATTGTTTCTGACTTTCATTTAGCTCCCTTCCACCCCGCTTGTGACGTGCTTCATGTTGCCCAAAAAATCACGGTCTGGCTGTCTAAATCTGAGCTTTTAATTCTGATACCTGTTTATGTCATATTCGAGGATTTAAAACCGGCGATTTTCGTGTCTTCTTCTCCATGAACTCCGCTTGTTAGTTGTTCCCTGCAACATGAAAATCACCGTCTGGCTTATTGAAATTTGCATGCCTATGAGCCTTTAATAGGCGGGAA